CTGAGGACGTTTCTCTTAGTCTCATTGATACGGGAGAAATTAACTCTGATATCTGTTTTTGCTGGTAGTTTTTAGTTAGATAAATTTTTCGAATGACATTCGAATTTTTTCAGGAACATTGTATGAGCTTCAAATTAGAAAAATAAATCCATTCATAGAACGTAATCAAAACCAGCTTGGCTTTCTAGGACAGTTGAGTTCAATAATTAATTCGTGATTCGCCTAACAACACTGATGAGGATGACACCTATGGTGCATATCGGTGTATAAAAAAATGAGCTGTAGGAAGTTCCTGAAAAATTTCAAATGTTGGTCCAAAAATCCACCAAAATACAAGGTACTTACCAGCGAAAACATGTAGAAACTTTCATTATTGTCTTTTCAAATTTCCATTTCTCTCAGGTATACCATAATAACAATACCTAACTACCTTTCTAACACTGATTGTCTCCCAATCAAAGATCACGAGAGTCAATATAGAGACTGGACTGGAAGTTATAGGACGTTGGGAAACCCCATTGGAAATACTAGTTATTTTTGATATCATTCAGTCACTTGGTTACGTTTTTGAGAATCAGTAGTACCTAATAATTGTTTTCACTAGTACGATAATCAGGGCCATAATAGAAGGAAAATAATTTTGATGATATTTAACAAGTAAGTATATCTTATGAATTATCCACCACATTCACTTCAACTATCCTGTTGAATTTGGAAATTCAATCAATTGGAGAATGTATCATGTTATAATAATCTCGAAGTGAAGTTGTTACTCAAGGGTTGGAATGTATAAACGTTCTGTTTCGAAATCAATGTATTATCTTAATCCAAACTCGTTTGAAACAAGGGTTGAATTCACTTTCAAATAACCCAAAAATGCACCAAACATTCAACTCTTAACAGCCTTTGAAATGTAAATCCGCACTTTTGCGAAAATCAATCAATGATAGTTAAAAATACATTTACTAGGCAGATATCTTCATGATTTTCTCCAGAAATCGCTATCTCATTTATGAAGAAGTGACTACTTTTATAGGGTGTTCGTGATACAGGAAATATATTCAATTGAAGTTGAATCGATGCAAGGAATTAATTTCACAGAAAAATATTGTAACAACATACCTACAAAAACAAAAATAGCATACTACAAAACTCAGACCACACTTACCAAACTAGACAAGAAACAAATTTGAATACGAAAACAACTGCAACTAAAAGGAATTTCGGCCAGAGAAATCACTATTACTTATGCCAAAGAGTATTCAACCATGTACCTGAAAACTTGAAAAAAGAAATATTCATGGCGAATTCTATGAGAGTCATCAAAAAAAGGATAAAACAATATATATTCAGTTTGCAGAGAAATACTATACATGACTTTCTGAATTGTAAATGAGAAATAGGCAGTAGATTAGAATTCGTGTTAGCTAATAAATTCATCAATTCACGTATACAATGTACAAGGAATCATTATTTAATTGCCAAATAACATGGAAATTGCATTTTATGGCCATGATACATGTATACTTATCGGATTCCCATGTACAACCTCGAGTTTCTGTGGGATTCATGTTTATTTACTGTAGGTTTATTCTGTAAACTTCATCATATCCATGCACTTGGTAACTAAATATTATTATTACTAATTCTATCGTACTCTTTCTTTTTAATGATGTATAATATGATTTTAGTATTGTAATGATTTATATTTTCTATTGTTATATTTTTATCATGTTTTACAAATTTTACTGCATCAATTTTATCTATGTTGAAAATCTGCAACCTACATTACATAATCTACAACATATTACATAATTTAAATTTAAAATACTTTCGGAAAAAATAACTATTAATAAACCATCCTCACCGAGGACAGCCAATGGCTTTGCAGTTCCTTTCCTTGTTTATTTGTTTTACATAGTTTATAAGACATAATGTTGACTTTTATCCAAATAAACCTTATTATTATTATTATTATTATAAAAGTAGTAGTTTCGAAAGTATTTTTTTTTCATGTAATTCAATATGTGTAAGAAATCAGTTGTTTCGTGAGGGCTTTTTAATCCATTTCGTCTCTGAAAGTTATTTCGTGAATAATTTACTTTGTTACTAGCGGACCCGGCGAATGTCGTTTCGCCTCACAGTCAATGGATGAGCAGATTTAGGATTTTAAAAATGATACAAAATTATTAGTATAATAAAATACATGGTATTGATGTATAAAAAAATAAATGGGAACTGGTAGTACGAGTGCACACTTCAGTATAGCATCCCGTGATATACATGTTAGCTGTCAATTGCGTTTTATTATAACATGTCACTATTATCACTGATGTTTTGTCTTTTTTATTATTATCATTTTTATTGATGAAATATCATATTTTAATACTTGTTATCCTATTCCCGATGAAGACAAATCCAAAATCACAAAAATTATAATAATTGGTCCTGCCATTCTTGAGTTCTTTTATTATATATTGATAAATTATCATATTTCAATACTAATCCTATTTCTGACGAAGACAAATTCAAAAAAACAAAAATTATAAAAATTGGTTTAGCCATTCTTGAATTCTTTTATTACCATCATTATCATTATTGATAAATCAATATTTCTCAATACTTATTATCCTATTTCCAAAGGATACGCAGTCTACGCGACTGCGGTAGACTGAGGTGTTGAAGACACCGTCCTGGCAAGCCATGATAAACCCCTTAGTTTCCGACTTTAGACCACTCGACTTGAGAAAAGCGAAAAGCGAAGACCCCATGGATTGGCTTATCCTTGAGTTGCCGTGGAAGTGAGGTGATCTTTGCGGCTTTTATACGAGCCTTTTGCTGAACGGTTTCCGACTCGGTGACAGAGTTGTGATCACCTCGTTCAGTGTCGATAACTAAACTGAGTTCATTAGCTGCTCGGGCAACTGACCTGAAGAGAAATGCTCCAATTCCTGATCTCTCATGGTCGCGGACCATGTAGTGAAGGGGATCCGAACTCCTGACGACTTTACAGGCTACATCCAGTACCATTCTGTTATGTAGACAACTCCAAACTCAAAAGTTCACGGCCTCCCTGTTGTCGGGGGAAGTACAACCGTGGAACAGACGATTTGGGATGCAAACTCCTATAGAGATGCATCATTTTTCGGGTATTTACGTCGAGTTGATACAGCTCCTCCCGAATCCACTTCACTACTCCAAATGAGTAGAGTAAGATTGCAACAGCAAGCATATTTGTTGCAGCAACTTTGTTCTTCCATGCCAGTTCCGATGACCAGATCTGCCGGAGTTTGTGCTGATACTTGCGGCGGAGAGAATTCTTCACCGCTGAGTGGCGTTGTTCCACCACGAGGTAGGTATACGTCTCTCCGGCATACAAATGGTGTAGGATGCTTCTATCTACGAGCTGCACATCCTCTCCGTAGTCTCCGCATCGTCCTGTTTGGAGATAGACCATTGCACATTTGTCTATCCCGAATTTCATACCGATAGCATGCGTGTATTCTTCCACCACCCTCAAGGACTGATTGAGATTCATCTCTCCAGAGGCAAAAAGTTTAAGATGATCTAAATAAAACAAATAGGGGACCTTGTGCCTCCGGTTTACAGGGGTGCCATAGTTATGCCCTCGAGTATTTCTGGGCGCAACGGATAATGGCAATAGTGAGATGCAAAAAAGAAGGGGACTGAAGGAATCGCCCTAAAATACACCCAATCTGAAAGTGACCTACCCTGTTTGAACTCTGGCTTGAACAGATGTTATGGTGAAGCGAGTATACATAATTCCCAAGAGCATGCAATATCGCCATGTACCCTCTTCGTCCGGGCTCACTACTCTCGTAGCAATGCATAAGGCTATCTCTTAGCTCATGCGTACGCTCAAAGCGTCCGTTTTTATTGTCATGGTTGTCATCGGTAAGCAAATCATCGTTATGGGCTCTTCCACTTTGTCTCTGAGCGGGTAGATTGTGGGAGCTCCTTCCTCGATTACTAGAAATCAAGTGTTGGGTCCACCGGGTATTTAGCCCTGTAAACCTACGGCCGGCACCTGAGGGAGAATGTGTTCTCCTTCCCGGGTGCTCCTGGGCTGCCAGTCCGGTTTTGCACCAGTTGTTCGGGTACGTGGTGGCGCAACTCACGAAAGGCCAAGGGTGTTAGTGGCCATCCCTGCTTATGAATTCTTTTATTATTTTTTTACCGTAGTATGCGCTGGTCAGGCCCTATCCCCCGAAGCCCCGATGCATTCGGGAGAGCGCGCCAGCATTATCAACCAACGACCACTCCCCACACCGTGGAATACGTGATCATTGGGTCCAAGAATCATGTGCCCTGAGCAAGTGGTGGGAGCCAAGAATGACAGCCTTCTGCATCTGTCTGCATTCTAAAGTGTGAGAGATGTGAGTTCGAAGATAGACTGTTTTACTGTCAGGAGGTCCGAAGAGAACATTATGAATATTTGCTCAAATTATCATTTGATATCTGAAATAAATAATGTGGTTAAAATAAAATGTTATCGTTTTATGACCTTCAAATTACCACTTATCTGTTGCAAAAGATGTTACTAATTCATTTTTTTTCCAATGAACATTTAATTTCTTTCAAAAAATATGACAAAGGATCGATGGAAGAGTGACGAAATTCCTAGACTCAAATTCAAACATCAGTAACTCTGCAACCGGTTATAGAAATAAAAAAAAGTGATGGTCATTGCATAGAAAATTGAAATACTTTCTGCAAAAAGTGCCACACTTTCGGCAACAAAAAGTACTAAAATTATTCTTTTTTACAAAATTTTAAAAATTTTGTTCGACTATGGTATCTCGCCCTGTTCGAGGAGGAATATTTACGTCCGCACTGTATTGATGTATATGACGTTTGAAATTCAGCGAATAATTATTGATAATGCATTTATTTGTGTCGGTTTCATATGATGGAAAAATATTTCATCCAACAATGTCGCGTACCTATACCCGCAGAGAACATTTTGTACTTTATTCGCGTCTCCTATAACCTGATTGGCGTGAAATAAACTTATCGAAAATTACCTGATTTGAACTCTGTTGTTGTCTTCTTCCCCCATACATTATTTGTTCATAGTCTGTAAACAGTCTGGAAGTGTTATGTTTACCAAAATAATTTTTTGTTTACTTATCGATAGAAAAAGATAATGAATAAAAGCTAAGTGCCTGGTGGTAAACAGTGACATCAATGATAATTTTTATTATTTTTATTCAAGTTGTTGCTGCTGAACAATAGCTCATGATGGTACTCTTAATTATAATACTTTTCGTTTGTGTGTGTGATTCTGGGTTGGCGGTTATATTAGTTGACAGTTCCCATACCATATCGGAAGATACATGGAAATCCACCCCAGAAATGATTGTGGCTGCAGGATATCAAGTTGAGAGTCATTATGTCACTACATCTGATGGATACATACTGGGTGTGCACAGGATACCACAAGGCAGAACTAGTGAGAGGAAAAATGAAACTGTATTGTTCGTTCACGGTCTGTTCTGTTCTTCATCTGACGCCATACTTTTTGGACCCAAAAAATCACCGGGATACTTCTTTGCTGACAAAGGATACGATGTGTGGATTATTAACGTTAGGGGAAACACCTACTCTCGTAATCACACCTATTTCAATCCCGACACTGACGCTGAGTTCTGGAATTTTAGTTGGCACGAAATTGGCACTATTGACGTTCCAACGGTTATAGACTACATTCTTGATGTCACAGGGACTGACGGAGTTTACTACATTGGCTATTCACAAGGTTCCACAGTTTTTCTGGTTATGACTTCAATCAGACCAGATTATAACGCAAAGGTCAAAGTTCACATCGGTTTGGCACCAACAGTATATATGAACAACGTGAGGAGTCCATTACTTCTAACCATAGCATCTTGGAGTGGTATATTGGAAAGTTTCTTGAAACTGTTTGGTGTGAATGAATTTCTTGCGAGAGAAGGAATTGGTGGAAATCTTATCAAAATATTGTGTTCGACAAACATAGGTGCTTCGCTATGCGAAAGTATTTTGTTTTCATTATGTGGATCGAATCCGTCTCAGTTGAACAGCTCTCTCGTTCCATTGATGATGAGCCACGCCCCTTCTGGGTGTTCCACCAATCAAGTGTTTCATTTTCTCCAGTTGATGCTCAAGGGAGGGTTTGGTCAGTTTGACCTGGGATTAGAGGGGAATTTGGAGAAGTACGGTGCAGAGACACCACCGCAATATGACCTCAGCAAAATTACCACACCTGTATACCTATTTCATGGTGCAAATGATTATCTGGCATCGAAGGCAGACATCGATACTCTTCACGAGAAATTTTCAAGTGGAGTTGCAACCAAAGTGCTGATGGAGGACAGTATGTGGGCTCATATGGATTTTGTTTTTGGTATTAATGCTTCTGAAGTAGTGTACAGTAAAATTACTGATATTTTTGAAAAACATTGACAGTTTTTCCTACAATAACAAAAATAGTGTGGTTTTGTGGCAATAATGTTATCCAGATAAAACGAAATAGAAAATTACTTCTGTGATTCACCGTCAGAAGAATAAAATAAGTTCCGTGTGTAGTTATAGTTACAAGGTTATTGATGGGCTTGTAAGTTTGAGTTTGTTCATCTTTGAAATGTCTGTCACACAAAATACACGTGCCGTTTGAATTTTTAAATAAATAGGGGTTTGTTCTTGATAACTTCCAGTTATTCATTTCGATTAAGTGAAATCACACATAAATATTTGAATCTTTTATTAAGTACTTTTATTGGTTTTTCACATTTTGTCTTCAATCGAGGACCGCCTGCCCGGTATTGACGATGATATGGAAAAGGTTTTTTTGACTAACCGTAGAAATATAAGTTTCTATTTAAATTGGGTATGGTAAGATCTTTTATTGAGTCTACAGTCAATTTTATGTGAAGTAATTGTGAAGACAGGTCACGAGAAGTTTCACCAATATAACTTTTATTATAAGATCTTCAAGGAATACTGTATATTACATTGTATTTTTCTTTAGTTGTGAGAGGAGTTTGAGTTTTCGAATAGAGACGAGATATAGTTTCACAACACATTTTTAGGAATATATTGAATTGAGAAATATCGAATAAATTCATTATGATCATTATTGTTGTTTGAAGGGGAAGAATTATTGGATTGAGAAAATCCTTCACTACCTATGAATGAAATTCAATTATTTATATTTGTAATATCTGAATATATATTGGAATTTGGTAAATGGAAGAAATATTTACTGAAAAGCTTTGGTGGATAAGAATTATCAATCAAAATTTCCTCAGTAGTTTCAAAACATTTTGGACGAAATCTGAATGAGGTAATTTCCCAACTCTTTCTTTGAGAGCGAAAATTTGATTTTCATTCTCAAGGAATGTTGAGAAAATTAACTGATAAATCTATTACTACATATACAAGGTGTCTATTAATAAACATGCGGCAAAAATTTAGGGAACTATTCTTATTCTAGGAGATAAGTTGTTATCTGGCATTCCTTCACCTAATCCTCCTGTGTACGGAAATTGAGAGAGGTGAATGTTTCAAATTTCCAGCCGGTCATCTTACAGAGTCATAACTTCACTCTATTGCTGTATAACATCTGTCAACATCCACTTCAGTTGTAGGTAGGTAAGGGTGTTTCAAATTCGATCCTCACCATTGGGATTTCGTTAACTATGAGATTCGAAGATGATTACATTGGGGCAGGCGCATTTACCTGACTAACAATATGCCATTGAGAAAGTTCTGAAATTCAGAGTATATCCGGATATATCCGGAAAAAACTGAAATTTCGGAAAATGATTTTTATATTTTTCTGACTTTATTTTTCGAAGGATTCGAAAATAAATTACACTTCCACATTGCCACTTTTTTTCTGCTACATAATGGTGTTTTCAGATTTGCTATCGGACGTTTCATCTTCCGGCCACCATCATCAACTTTATTTTTTCTTATGGACGCTACATTGGATTCTTTCTGTTTTGAATAGAAACAGATTTTACCTTTTCAATAATGTATAATAAGTTATTATTCTTTTCCAAAAAATTGGAGATTTTGAAAAAAAATGATTCTTTTCATGATACGCTTTGACTTTGATGTTTCTAAATTTGACTTTCAATTTGTTACACTCAATGACGTTTTGTTAATGTACAAGTCATTGAATTTTTGGCGAAAAATGGCTTTCACGGATGAATAAAAAAAGATATGATACAAATCTATTACAAATACGATAGAAACAGTGTTAGGACATCGGAAATGTATTTGAACTTATATCTCGAAAGACGATAACCACATCGAACTATGTTCAAGTTATTGGATCAAAATCTCACCGAGTTTGATTCGTTTGAAAAGCCAATGAGAAAATACGGAGACAGAATCAACAAATGAGGTGTGTATTAGGTAAATTAGACATTGTGTCATTTTCAATGAAAATAGAACTTTGAACAAATAACAATAATTAACTAAAATGTAAAGACAAAAGTAAATCACAGCAAATGCTCAAAATGCTGGCCTTGTTCATGATAACACAACTGTGCCCTTCTTCAAATATTATTCACTGCACGATTAATTTCCCTCCTCCTCA